CCGGGAAAACAAAAAAAGAAAAAAAAAGAAAAGAGAAAAAAAAAAAAATAGTCTTCAAAATAAAAATAAAAACGACTTGAAATAAAAAAAAAAAAAAAGAAAAAAGGAGAAATTCAAGAAAGAGGCGAATGCATAAAAGTGCAAAAAAAAAGGCACACACACGCACACACACACACACACAATGGCAGACACAAAACAGCTCGGGAGGTAAATCATGTGGTGAAGATAAGGCGCAGAAACAACAGCGACAAACAGAAGTAAAAAAAAAAAAAAAAAAAGAGACGGGAATAACATATACACGTAAACGCGCACGCCTACCGGAATAGGGCCACGCCTTTCATCCACAATCGCAGATTCAACTCAAAAAAAAAAAAAAAAAAAAAAAAAAGAAAAAAAAAAAACTTGCGCACAAAAAATTCTGTTGAAATCCCAAAGAAGATACCGCTGTTGCGGCAAAAAGAAATCGAAAAGAAATAAGAAAATATTACGCACAAAACGCACAGAAACAAATTTATGCATAAAATTCTATCGACGAAGTCCGTGTGTGTCATATAGAGATAATGCATACGGGTATACTCTTGTCCATGTGAGATGAGGAATCAACAGGAGAGCAAGAATGACAAACAAAAAAGGGATTAAAAAGGGTTAACAAGCCAACTGCCCCCACAATGTGTGCACATTTCAACGCCATGTTCGTGCTACAGTTCGCCTGCCACTCCATGAGCCCATTTATCGATTTTTCCTGCATTTCCGTTTGCCTTTCCTACAGATTTTTTTTTCCTGTCGTCTCGTCGCTGCTTATTTGGTACGCCTTCTTTCTTCCATTTTTTTTTCCTCCTTCCTTCTGCCCTCGCAGTGTTTCTGTTTGTGAGCTCTCCTTTCAAGCTGAGTCGCACAGAATGTTTCGCTCTATGACAATCAATACTTCCCGTGAATTTCCACCCAACATCCTTCTGCCCAATCATCCTTTTCCTGCTCCTGCTGTTGTGTGTGCGTGTGTCTGTCTGTCTGTCTGTCTGCGTGCCTGTTTTTCTGTCACCCTCACGCATGCATGCCGACGAGAAAAGAGGTGGCAGCATTCACTTACCTTCGCCTACGGCGGGGGGCGGTGCCTCCTCCCGCTGCGACTCAGCTATTTGCTGTGACTTGGACACTTTATTTTTGGCTCTCCCTCTCCGCGGACCCCCTTTTCCGCCCTTCAGTCCCATTTTTTTTCCCCGTCACAATCGAGGCGCAGAGCGTCCTCGTCGCCGTGTCCCCGCAAAAGTGGATGAGTGCAAAAAAAGTGATATTCGCCCTCCTCCTCCTCTTCTTCCCTCTCCTTTTCGCTCTCATCCTACCTCCCCCAGCGCAACGGAGTCATTTTTTTTTTTCCAATTCTTTTCTCTTCTCCTCCCCTCAGGACTCCGTCGCCTGGGAAACAAACAAACAAACCAAAAAAAGAACAAAAAAAAAAAAAAAACTGTTTTCCCCCACCCCTTTATTTTCTTTTCTTCACTTACACATCAGCCCCCCATTTTTTTTTTTTTCCTCCTTTGGTCAGTCTTGTGAGGGACTGACCAAAGGACTCCACTACCTGTGTTTTTTTCTTTTTCTTTTTGTTTTCAGTCCTCCTCATAATATATTTTTAATTTTAACTTTTTTTTTCTCCTTTTCACGTCCCCTATCCTCGGTTTTCACCAAATTTGTCTCTTTTTATTGTTTTTCTCCGGGATTATTTATCGCATCATTTATTTTTCTCCCCCCTAGCACCTCGCCGCCAGTCACAGTCGTGCATGCATTTTCCTCCTTCCGTTTTTTTGTTTTGTTTTTTTTCTTTTTCGTTTACTGCCCACCACGCACGGAAGTGCCTCACTATTAAATTCCCTCATTCCCATAGAGCCGAGTGGGGCGCAAAAGATGCATCTCCGTGCGTACCGAACTTGACTGCGATCAAAAAAA